TAATCAGACAGTAATAAATATTTTTTATAACAATGAACAAAAGATTTTAAGTAATGGAAAGCCCAAAGATGCTGTATTATCTTTTAAAAGGAGACAAAGGGAAAAGAAAAAAAACGAAATGTAGTTTATGTGTGTCTATATATATATAGAGAGATATATATATATAGAGAGATATAGATATATATAGATATACAGGTATGTAGATATATAAATAGATATATTTTGTATATGAAATCTTGATGAAACTTGCTATTAGTATTTTTTGATTTTTGTCTGAAATCTCTACGTAAAAAAATGTGTATAAAAATAGTCATATTCATAATTTTATATTTAAAATTTTAAGTTGTTCAAAAGAAAAAAATATTTGAAGTGAACTACGAAAATCAAATAAACAAATTAAAAAAAAAACTACTAGATGTTAATAATAAAAGCAACCTAAACGTTTTTAAATAAGGAAAAACAAATACGGAAAGATATTTTATTATATAAATCTATTTAGTTTAAATAATTATAATATATTTATTAACTTAAATTAAAAAACCTAACAATTTAATTATATTTAAACCTATTTAAAATTAAATCCCGAAAACTTGTAATATTGAAAAACTGGCCTTCTAATTTTCGGCCTATTTATGCAACATATCCGGCCGTGTATAAAGTAGGCCATGATGTATTTCAAAATGTTTTTAGTTTAAAGTTAGTTAAGTTTTTAAAAGATTTTAAGTTGTTTTTATTTCAATTCACCTCTCCAAGGTCACGAAAGTCATTTCAGTTCCATTCGTTGAAAGATACCCTTAAACATCCCTTTTTTTTTTACTTTATTATACTTCTCTAGGTATAATAAAATATATATCTGAAAAAATAAAATATATAGCATTAAGTAACAGTCTTGTTTGATTTTTTATAGAAAAGGAATTTTAATAAATTTTTATGAATTTCATCTTCTAGTATCTTTTAGTATCTAACATTAAGAAACATTTTTGATAGATTTGTTCTGTTACTGACCAATTGAAACAGTTTTTATCACATACTGCTACGTATTCTATGCATGAAACACTTATGCTATTCTTATTAATGTATTAAATTCTAATTAACACTTATGCTATTCTTATTAATTAAAATTATTAAATTGAATAACTACATTTGAATAAAACAATGTTTAAACTTAGTATTTCAGAAGACAACCATTAAAAAGATTTACTTTTGTAACTATAGCAGGACACAAGATGCTATTATGTTTAACAGCCACCCAACTGTCTCTCTCATACGCAGCTAACTTATCAATAATAAAATATACCTGAATAAATAAATGCACTGATAATAGAAACAATTCACTGTTACTAAAAGGTATTAATGAATTCACTGATACAAAAAAAATAAGCATATATAAAATTCACAGAGTTCGCTGTTGTTGTCATTTAATTACCAGAATTAAAAACTAAAAAAAAAAATTAAAAACTAAAATATTTACGTAAATATCTTTCACGATGTGATCAGATATGTGTTTTGTAATATCTTCAATACATCAAACAGGTAGAATCAGGGAGGTTGATGTTTTTATTTGTGATATTTGCTTTTTATATATGTTTAGGTTATTACCAAAAAGTTAACATGCTTCAAATGATGCTCTTGTCATTTGTATCTTGTGATATTGTCGATGAGACAATTCTTTGTTGCTGTTGCATAGTTTTTTATTTATTTAGAATTTCACATTTTATTAAAGACCCATTAGAAATATTGTCATTAAATGATTTTTGTTTGGTCGTTTATTTACTATATTATTTTTTTGAATATAACACTTTTGTTACAAATTACACATGTTGCCAAACCGTGTTTATTTGCAACAAAATATTCTTCTTTCCAATATTTTGTCATTTCAAATCAGATCTTGTGTTTACATTTGAAAAAAACTCCTGACTCTTTTTTTTTTTTTTTTTGGCGAATTCGAATGTTCTAAGCATCTACTTATCGTGTTACTTATAGTGTTTGTCTTTGGCGAATATATTTTCACTACTTGTGCTTCTATAGTTGCTAAAATGTTTTTTTCTGTTGATGTCTCCCTGGCTACACAAAAAAAGTTTGGCGGGCTATAGATGCCCCGCGGGCATCAAGTTAAGTACCATTGGATTTATTAACTTGTTGTTTTCAAAATTAACGGGGACTTTTACACTTATTCGATCACGTTTACGAATCAAAAGTTTTTAATTTGTGAACGTAAAATGGCGGTATCAGATGAATCTGGAAAAAAAAAGGCAAACTCTCTAGAAAGAGTTCAAAATGCCATTATAAGTCTTTTTCGATATATAATAGTAGTAAAAGTTTTAATGTTACTGGTTTCTTTATTACGAAGTTGCAAACGAGTTAAAAATACTTTTAATAGCTTATGTTTTTAATTAGTGCTTCCAATACCGGTAGTACCGACTTTTTTAAGTACTGAAATACCGGTAACGGTTTGGTTTTAAAAACTTTGTAGAGGGCTTGTGATATAGCGGATGCGATCGCTCTCTTTACGTAAAACACAAAAGTAGATGAATTATTAAAAACTTCCAGTCGCGATAAACTCTTGTTTAACGCTCGTTCATCCTGTATTGAGAGTATAAAATCACGCTCGCTAAAGAGTTTAAGATAATTTGTTTAATTGATTTTTTGTAAAAAAAATTATTGTTAAAATATTTAGTTAAAGATAAAACTTGTTTAATTTAAAAGTAAAATTTGTCTTTCTTTTAATAACAATGCACTGATTTAAAATATTATCATTAGAATGTAGAACCATATGTCATAAGAAATGGATTTAATATATATACTAATAATATAATATATAGACATAAGAAATCTATTTCTTATGGTTATGGTAAAACGCATATTTAAGTTTTGCGCTAATGTAAAGAATAAAAAGTTTGAAGTTGTTACAGCTGATTTCTATAATAGAATGCTAGCTATTTTAACCAAGCGCGCGTTGAAGCGGAAACGCAGTATGAATGGAATATAGCGCTAATGCAAAAGCAATGTTAGTAGAAAATTACTAAAAGAAAATTAAAACTTGAAAATATTTTTAATTTTGTAAAAACGTCAAGGTAATAGATTATAAATCGTTAATCATAGTGTAATTTGGCATGCCAATGGTATGCCACGTAAAGTTATAAAATTAATAGCAATTAGAATTACGTTTACAAAAAAAACTTTATGCATTTTGATTTAAGAATCTGGAATCACCTTAATATAAATAGTTATAATTAATATAAGTAATAGAAAAACATAAAATGATTCAAAGAATATTCCAAGAGTTCAGCACTTGCGTACGAATTGATGAAAGTACTGTGTGGTTTTTTTTTCTGCGTGATGAAGAAAATCAAATGGTGGAAGTACCTAAGAACTAACCATGCAATTGACTAGCTGAAGAGGAAGTTGTCTCAAGATGCAGCATTGACATCGGTTTTGTTTTCAATGGTACCGATATTTAAGTAATTGTGATCAACATTTGTGCATTGTGCAATTTAACTAGCTGTTCAAGACGCTTTGTACAAAAAGCCGTCAACTTCTGCACAAAAAAAACTTGAATGTAATCTGCAATTACAACAATAGCAGTGTGAAAGAGACGAGGATAGAAATACTGACGATGACACATACAAAACCAATTATGATAAAAATTTTTCTGGCGAGGTTCAAGTTGTAATAAGTGAAAAGAATGACTCTATTGAACTGAATGGTGATTTGCAGCCGTTAATCATTAAGGTGCGCATCGTTGTAAAATTGTTTCGCCGTTCTCCAATAAAAAATGATCAAACATTTCAAAAATACGCATTAGACAAATTTGGTACAGGCCTTCCACTAATACTTAACTCCAAAACTTGCTGGAGTAGTTTGCACACAATGCGTGAACGTTTTGTAAAATTGAAAAATTCCAATTGCAAGTCACTGATCGATCATGAGTCTAAAGTTGAGGTAACTGGATAAGGAGTTTTTATCTGTTACTTTATGTCTTGCACCAATAAAATTGACTGTAAAACATTGTGCCGAAATGACAACACTGTTGTCAGCCGATACAACACAAATGTTCATGATCGATAACCTTGGAGAAACCGAATTAGGCGTAAAGTTAAAAGCTATGTTGGTGCGACGGTTCAATGAGTGACGTACATCTTTTTCCAGCTTACTCCAATATCTACACACGGGTCATCAACGTTACGAGAGTTTAGATCCAGCACTATCTTTTGAGCACCTTAGAAAATCAGCCATTGTAAATAAGAAAGCGTATAATCCTCTCTAATAGTGATATTGTTGACAACGCTGTAAACTTGTCATTGAAAGAAAAGCTTGACTTTGCAATTTTGAAAAATAAGAAATGTAACAATCAAAAATTATATAGGTATATATAGATCTATAGGTAGTAACAGTTTTCGAAGAAAGAGGAAATCGTGGAATTTATTTGCAAAATTCCTACGAATATTTGAAAACTGTGAAGCCAACAAGTATCGAATCGGAGTGTTTATTTTCAGCAAGTAGCAATGTTGTCACAAAATTACGATCATCTCTTGAGGATTATACTCTAAACGCCCTATGTTTCTTACGGGCTCATTTTACAAAGGAAAAAAAGTCAGTTATTTTGATAAAAAAAATAAGGCTAATGAATCAATAAAATTTTTACTATTAATTTGAGATTTTATTCATAATATGATAAATTAAAAAAAATCTTTAATACCGGTACTACCGGTATTGAAATTATTCAGTACCGAAATACCGGTATTGAAAAAAGGTATCGGTATTGGAGCACTATTTTTAATGATCTGATTAAAAAAGAAAAAGAAAACCCTAATGAGCATTAATATTTGTAAATCGTAAAAATTTATTTGTAAAAATAATAAAAAAATTATTTGATTAAAATTAAAGTTAAACAAGTTTTAAAGAAATTTTATTTTCATTAGTTTTAATTTATTTTCATTTATTTTTTTTATTTTAATATGTTTTCATTATTTTTATTTATTTTTATTATTTTAATTTAGGTACAATTCTTAAAAAAAGCTGTCGACGTTTTATGTATGTGCCGAAATACTTTAAAATACACTTATGTTTTTGCGTTTTATCTTAAAAAGAATAATCACTCTATTATATTTGAGGTATAATGTTTATTTAATTGTTCAAGTCAAACGTTTTTTAGATTTTGTTTATTTTAAAGATTGTTCGAGTCGAATATTTTTTTCGGTTAACATAATTTTATTTTTTAAAGTTTACTTTTAAGGAAAACCAAAAAGACTTAGAGATGGCTACCGAACATTTATCTGAATACTTAGAAAGAGATATAAATTCTGATGAAATAACCGCTGTTCAAGCTATTAAACAAAAAGTTCAAGATAAATATAGGTATTTCTTCAAATTATTCTGTTTATTAAAGCAATATAGTGTCTCGGTTTTCAAATAAAAAGTTTGCAAATACTAAATAATTTGAAGTATTTTTTTTTACTTTGGTAGATACTGTGAGCATCGTCGCAACGTATTATTAGATCATGTGTACGAAGGGTATGATAGTGAAATTTGGGAATATTTTGAAGAAAAAATTTAGATTGCAACTCTTTTATATATATATTTTTTCTTTTTTAAAAAATGCAATTCTATGCTGCAATAAATGGAATCGTTAAATTTAGAAATATTTTCATAAGGCGATTTTTATATAATATTCCTATAGTCTATTTTTTTAAGAATTTATGGACTTTGGAGTTATGGAGTTCAACAACTATCTCATTTTTTTCTCTCTCAATCAGTTTATGTCCAACTAGATGATAATATTTTTTGCATTTCTTAACCACATTCCTTGTATTTCCAAATGGTATGAGAATATTTCTTGTATTATCTGCTCAATACAAATTTTAGTTGAGTGGGCTTTTTTTTATAATTTGTTCACTATTTTATAAGAAAAATTATTTATAACTTATTTATGGAAGAAAAAAAATTTAGTTGATACTAAGGCCATCTTAAAACGAAAGCGACAGCTGATTTTACGTAAAATAAGCGAATGCCGACTTTTTTACGGCGAAAAACATTTTCGATGAGGATTTTAATTTAAGCACAGGATCTCGTAAAATAATAATTGTTGTGTTTATGATTTCTCCTCAGATTTTAAATCAAAACTAAAAAATAGTGTGGAACAGTAAAGATTTTCTTTTTGTATTATTGTTACATAAATACAATTTTGAGTTTACAAATTAAAAAACAATTTGTGATTAAAAAAAGAAGATTCTGGATTAAAGATCTTCTTCCTATTCATACTTGATCAGTCTTAAAGTATGTAAGTGTCTTGCATCCTGAAAGTGTCCAAAAGATGAAATGTTACAAGCTTATTGTGCTTGAAAAAATTAGTTTTACCTGATAAGTTTGAAACTTAATAATAAACGGACGCTATTTAATTATAAAAAATTTGAAATCAATAATAGAAAATTATGAAGAAAAATTGTTTAAGGGGGAAGCCCCCCCTAAACAGAAGTATTAAACATTTTAAACAAAATCAAGAATATAAAACATCAATATAATATGAATAAACAAAATCCTTGAAAAAAAATACAAAATGGTTTTTGGTTGCCATAGTAACCACAAAAAACACATAAAAATGGGCAAAAAATGCATTCACACCGGCCGTAAAAACTAAATAACCGTGCAAGATCTCTTAAAAAGCTTTCACCAAATGCTTCACAAAAGGTCAAAGGGTGTTTTAATAGCGGCATTTTTCTGTAACTAAAAATCTGAGCAATGGGTGCACATTTAAAGATGGCGAAAATATTTTTTATTCAAAATATTAAAAATAAAAAAATTTAAACCTCAATTTAAAAAACTGTTTCTATTAAACCACAGTTTATAATCATAGAAACAACTCCAGAAAATCTCATCAAAATTGGTAAAACGGTTCTTGAGATAAAACGGCCGGCGTATGAAAAAAGACTATTTTGAGAAAACGCGAAAAGAAAAAAAAATTAGCATATAAAACTTTGAAACTTTAAGTAAAACACATATTATAGTTAAAATATCTAATAAAAAGTATTAAAAACCTCCTGCTTTATACAACTTCCCTTCTTTTTCTTTTTCATTATCATTTTTATTATGTTTTTTGCCACAAATAATTTTTTTTCGCAACTTGTTTTTATCAATATTTATGTATTTGGAACGTGATAGTCGTTTTTAGTTTAAATTTTTACAACCTTTAAGAGTATATACTCCTGGAATTATTTGGAAAAATTCATAAACTAAAATCGAGGCTTTTCGACCAATGTTAAAATTAGCCACTGCATCATAAACTCCAAATTCTAATTGACTGAATTATATAAATTTTATTTTAGGTAAACGTTCCCAGATAGTACCATTAAAAATTTCATTAGTATTTTGTGTCTTACCATGTAAGCACTTTTATAAATGTTGGTCAGCACTGAGTTCTGCAAAGATTGGTTTGATTTTATAAACAATAGCTATTGGTAAATTTTTAAGTTTTTAAGTTGCACGATTGGCTTTACCTGAATTATATTTGCACCAATTATCAGCTTCTACTGGGCAATGTGGAAAATGTAGATTATTCTCCTTGTTGGAGGCAACATAATTAAGTGATGCCAGAGTACCAGGTTTCATAGATGCTAAATCTCATTACATTACATTAGCTCTAATTGAAATACCAAAACAACTTTGCAACCGATCAATTGTTGCATCTGTTAATTTACCTCTACCACCAAGGTTTTCAGTTTTTTTTTCAACTTCTTAATCTTGTACCTATATGTTTTTATCACATGAAACACCAGTATCAACTATATCAGTATTCGAATCGTGTCTGATTTCCGCAGTAGCATCACACATAGTCTCTATTGCTACTTTTTTCACAACTTTAGAGATTTTTTAGCAAGCTTGTTTTAGTTATTTGTAGTCATTGGCGGAGGAATATTCATAAAAGAAGTGAAGTTTTCAAGTCCTGCGTGACATTGACCCAACGACCGCATTGTCTAAATAACTTGCTTATTTATGTCGTATCCCTGTTTACCACTTTTTTTTATAGTACAAATATTTTTGAAAAATAAACAATTTGAACATTTTAAAACTAAAAAGGAGCAAGTCCATGTCGATCTTTTGAGTTGTCAGACAACACAAGAGAGTCTTCATTGAAGCACATTGGACAAATGAGTTCTTTAAAAATAACAAATAACACTTCTATATCTATAATTCTATATCTAGACAGTAGAATACAATATTCAACTACATCAATTTGTCGTGTTTTTGAATGTGGTGATGGAATATTTACAATATTATCAGAAGCGTCAGTCAGACAGTGAATCACAGTGTCATTATTAATTAAAATATTTACAATTGGAGTAGATTCTTTATTTACACTATCAACAACAACTTCTTCTTCATAAAATAATGATTTTTTAACTGGAAAAGATCTATACTTTTTCATAACAATAATAGTTCGACGTTTTACTCTACAATATTTTGGCATTCTTGTTAAATTAAATAAAATTAATCTAAGTTTGTTTTTGTCTCTTAATCTCGCTTACTTTTGCTTAGCTGAACAAGAAGTATAATAGAATGAAGCATCCTAACCCAAGTTAGGCATTTCACATAAGCTTTTTTTTTTTTTTTTTTTTTCAAATACGACAAAAAAATTACACTTTCGATATAACGAAACATCAACTTACCATTAAAAAACCTAAAATTTCTGCACTTTAGAATGATTTTTATGAAAAACAAATTACATAAATGAAATCTATGGTAATTTTTATGTCTAAAAACGGTCATACTAAATTTTTGTTTTTTTGATGATTTTAGAGGGAGTTTCCCCCTTAACAACTCGGTGTAGTTAAGACGATTTACAAAATATTCGAATTCTTTTATTTGGAATTAGCATGGTTTTGTTAGCATATTATGTCCAAACAAGATCTTTAAATGTTATAATTTCTTTTGCTTCAGGTTTTTATAATATTTAAAGAAACCTCTCTTTTTTTATACAATTTTCAAAATCTTTTTACTACCCGTAATAGTGAATCTAAAGAACACTATTTTGGAGTCTTAAGAATTATTCCGCTCATCGGCATTAACATGAATTTAGTTAAAATCTTTTTAAAAAGTTTCTTTATTTACTACTGATCCTAGTTGTAATCGGTTTTGACGTATATTAACTATATATAGTTGTCAAAACACTTTCTATCAATTTTTACGCACTTTTTATCAATTAGTGGCGCGTTTTGTTTTATCATTATCGTCGGATATTAGTACAACTGATAATGGCTCTAATTGGTAACGGTAGATTACAACTGTAAACAAGGTAATAGTTGACTGCGACCAATAAGCAACTTGAACAGCATCCTGATAACCACATGTATAGTTTTGTAAATAATCGAAGTGTACCAAAATTTGGCCTGGTTCGAGATTTTCTTTTTGACTGCGGTATTGCTCAGACTGGTGCTTTTTAATGAGATGATGCTCGGTAAACTCTGGTAAATAGTTGCGGAAATGTTTAAAAACATCTTTTATGTTTTTTCTATGTTGACTGAGTACACAGCGATGATCTTCTTTTACCAACCAACTATAGGGAATTAATGTATCCAAGTCTCCATTTTCGGGCGAAGAAACTCTTAATAATTTGCTATCACTACATAATGAACATTTCATAATCCAGCCTTTGTACATAGGGGGCTTGCACAATACATAATTTACTAACCATTTATTGCAATACAATGGAAAAGGTATTTTACTTGCCAAAGCAGCACACAAATACAGGGGTGGGACCGCAAAATGTGAACACTTTTCTGATTGTAATAACTAATTTTCTGTTAAATATGAACTATTTTAAATAAGAATGTCCAATGGTTGGACATTCTTATTTAAAATAGTTCATATTTAACAACTCTTTAGATACTTTCTGATGAGTGAGAGAGTACAACTACATCTAACGAGAAAATAGTTATAATAAAACAAAAACGTTCACATTTTGCGGTCCCACCCCTGTAAGTAAAATTGCTGTGATAAACACAACCGCATGTTTCAAGTGTTTCAAACCGCATGTTACGTGTCTTTGCACGTAAGAATGTATGTAGGCCTTAATTCACAAAACTAACGTTTAATTGTTTTGCCGGCACTCTTCTCACAATACAGTTGGTACAGCTCCTTTAAATTCATAACTAAGTTGCGCTTTTGAACTTTTTCTCCGCCAATTTTAACACAATCTTTTCTTCCAGGAGACATTATTGATATATCTTCTCTTTCATAAAAATTTTTTTAGTTTTTCAATTTATTCTGATGTAAAGTGAACTCGTTTCTTTAGTAGTACACAGCCCATATTATAACCCTCTCTCAACTCTATAACTCCGAAACACGAACCTTGACGAACAAAGCCGCTGCGCGGAGAAACAAGTTGACAACAAATTACAAACGATCAATTAACGGAATTGATTTTTTACTTGGTTTAAATAATAAAATCGTTCGCGCTTAAACTTTATATAAAGTCAAGAAGCCGTTTTGGAAAAACAAACATATCGTGATGGTCGTGCTTAACAACGTCTTGAAAAGGTAATCTAAAGCACTTTAAAAAAAAAAAAAAATTGAAACAATGATAAAATTTGCAATATTATCTTTACTTTTACCGTGGTTGTAGTTTTAAAAAGTTTGAT